GGCACCTACAAGACAGCGGCCATTGCGGAGTTCAGCTTGGAACTCTTGAAGCTCTCCAGCAGAGAAAAACAGAACAAAACATAAATCTCTTTATCATTTTATTTTGAGTACCAGCCATAAGCTAGACACCTATATATAATCAGTAATTACGTGTGTCTATTGTCTATTATATATGGTCCAGTACTCTCTACTGAACTGCATGGCTTTTCCCACTGGACTGGGATAGAATCCAGGGCCTCACCATGCCAGGCAAGCACTCTGTGTACATCCCGTCACTCACCATTGTTAACTAGAAAACCCAACTGCTGAATACCTGCCGGGAGTGAAAACCAGTGAGGGAGGTGGGATCCTGCCCACAGCCACCCTCGTGATCTCGGACTTGGGTGGAGCTCCCACCTCCTTTGCCCATCCCCATCTGTCCTGAGTGGGAGGGGTAAGGGATTTCAGCATCCCTCCTGATGTTTACTGACAAACACGCTGGCATTCCAGGTGTACCCCACGGCGACGCGGGCCCTGGGCCTGGGCACCTGCAGCGGCATGGCGAGAGTGGGCGCTCTCATTACTCCGTTCATTGCTCAGGCAAGTGTTGCCCCGAATACAGATCCAGGAGGTGGCCATCTGTGCCCTACGGAGTGGACGGCATTTCCCAGCACCCCAGGGGGGAAGACCCTCAGAAGGATAAAGGACCCAAGGCCATTGGACAGGGGCTCAGACAAGCCTGGGATAGAATTCAGCTTTTCCCGGTGCAGAAGTCCCTGTGGGTACCAGAGGATTCGGCCCAGGATAATTTGGGTACACTGAGTGTGGTCCCAGCTACTTTGGGGAGGCTGAGGTGGGAGGAGGGCTTGAGAGCAGAATTCGGGGCCAAAGGAACAGTGGGATATTGACTCAAGGAACAAACAACAGACACTAGTTTGCTCCAGATGTCTGTCTTCCTTTCTGAATTGGCTGATTTGGGCGAGTTACCAAACTTGGCAACTCAGGGTGCCGCTAAACATGGATGTCCATGTCTGAACATCCATTTTAAGAAGTCGATCACATCATTAAATTTAATTATCTTAAAATAAATTGGGCCAGTGTGATGGCTCAGCAGTAGAGATGTTTATCACCAAGTCTGATGGCTTGAGTTTAATACCTGGGACCTACAAGGCAAAAGGAGAGCCAGCACCTGTAGGCTGTCCTCTGAGCTCATATTTGTGCTGTGCATGTGTGTATGTATGTAGGTGTATGTATGTATGTATGTGTGCATGTATGTGTGTATGTATGTATGTGTGTGTATGTATGTATGTGTATGTATGATCTATGTATGTCTCTCTTAGGGTCCTCTGTGTTGTCTAGGTTCTCTGGGATTGTGTTTTGTAGGCTGGTTTTCTTTGCTTTATGTTTAAAAGCCACTTATGAGTGAGTACATATGATATTTGTCTTTCTAGGTCTGGGTTACCTCACTCAAAATAATGTTTTCTAGCTCCATCCATTTGCCTGCAAATTTCAAGATGTTGTTATTTTTTTCTGCTGTGTAGTACTCCATTGTGTAAATGTACCACATTTTCCTTATCCATTCTTCGATTGAGGGGCATTTAGGTTGTTTCCAGGTTCTGGCTATGACAAACAATGCTGCTATGAACATAGTTGAGCACATGTCCTTGTGGCATGGTTGAGCATCCTTTGAATATATATCCAAAAGTGGTATTACTGGGTCTTAAGGAAGGTTGTTTCCTAATTTCCTGAGAAATTGCCACACTGACATCCAAAGGGGTTGTACCAGCTTGTGTTCCCACCAGCAATGCAGGAGTGTTCCCTTTTCCCCACAACCTCTCCAGCATAAGTTGTCATCAGTGTTTTTGATCCCTGCCATTCTTACAGGCGTAAGATGGAATCTCTGAGATGTTCTAACCTATCTCCATCTCCCTCCCTAGGTGATGCTGGAATCTTCTGTGTACCTGACCTTGGCCGTCTACAGTGGCTGCTGCCTCCTAGCTGCCGTGGCCTCCTGCTTTTTGCCCATCGAGACCAAAGGCCGAGGACTACAGGAGTCCAGCCACCGGGAGTGGGGCCAGGAGATGGTTGGTCGAGGGACCAGCAATGCAGACGTCCCCAGGTCGAACTCTGGCTCTCAGGAATAATGACCCTGGGAGTTGAGCTGGTCTTGAGGCTAGGGAGCTGGCAGAGCCCAGCTGGGCCACTTATGGTCACTGCCGACATCAAGAACTTACCCACGAGGGTGATGTGGAGCGACAGGGTTTTGCATCTTCACTGTGTTTGGCCATGTTCGTCAATGGTCGCCCATCCCGGGAAGGCGGGGTGGCATTCGCTCCAGGGGCTTCTCTGTGGTGGGGGAAGGGTCTGCATGGGGAAACTGCTAATGTGGGAGGGTCCCAGGAAGCTCAGGGCCAGCCGAGCAGATGTCATATAGTTACCCAGTCGCACACTTGGAGAGCCACTGCCCACCCAAAGATACAGTCCAGGCCCAGACCCCTGTGACACTTGCCATTTTGTCCAGTAGGTATCTTCTGCACCCTGGCCCCAGGCTTTCTTTGGAATTAAGGTGAGCTAGTGTCTGGCTTAAGCAGCTTTTCTGGAGCCAGAGACACCCTCTGCTTCCTTGACTGGGTCCCTCCAGGTGGGAACTAGCAGATGAATGTGCATTTGAGTTTGAGCCAAGCAGCCTCCACCTGGTCCCCTCCCTTTGGAGGTGCCATCCCCAGCTGCAGAGGGTCCTGGTAAGCCTCTGAGGAGGAGAACTGGGTGCCTACCGGGCGATAACCTCAGAAAGCTGTTACCCCATTCCCCGACCTGGAAACTGGAGACTGAGGCCGAGCTGAGGGGAAACTCAAGCCTAGAGTCAGAGTGTGCTGAAACAGTGAGGGAGTTCTGAGCCCTCTGCTTTGGCTCCCTTCTTAGCCCTACTGAATGGCGAGTCCTGGTTTACTCAGACTTCAGGGCTGTGCTGTGTACAGATGGCTGCACAGACTGAGGGATCTCCAGGGGGACGTTCCCGCTGCAGGCCCACTCTGTCTTGGGACCAGGAGTCCGTTGCCCATTCTGGGCCTGCCTCCACGTTCACTCGTGGCTCCTCTATCAAGAGCAGCCCTGGCCTACAGAGGTAGGTCCTGGGAGGACACCCTGGCACAAGTTTCAGAAAAGTCCTTATCAGAGGTGAGGGGAAGCCATTTTCTTGACCTCAAGGAAGAAGGAGCAGAGGTAGATCTCGGCAGTCCGCGTGTACTCCCAGATTCCGGAACCCACGAGCCTTCCCCTGAGATTCAGGAAGGAAACACACGGAGGGAGGAAGGAAGCTTACAGGCCCCACCAAAGGCCAGAGGAGACCGTCCTACCACCTGACGCACACAGAAAGCAGCAGTCAATGTGCGTTGTGCATTCATCTTATTAAAACGTTGGTGACAGACATTACAGGGCCTAAGTCTGGTCGTTGGGGATGGTGTTCTAGTGACAGTTCACTCCAAAGTTGGCGGACGTGGTCCATTCAGGGAAGTGCTTTGACTCAATCTCCTCTCCTGTGAGATGCAGTCACCAGCTAAGCTTGGTGGAGACAGCACTGTTAATGGGAAGAAGACACAGTGGCCTCTTTGTGGGAACAGTTTGGTGGCCACCCCTTTAGCCCCATCCTGGAATTTGCATTTAAATTTATTATTATTATTATTATTATTATTTTTATTATTATTGATATTTGAGACAGACTTTCCCAGTGTAACCCAAGCCAGCCCACTTCTTCCTGCTCAGACTCCCTAGGGCACCACCACTGCCCAGCTCATTTCCTTGAATTTTTAAATTTCTTGTAGTTATTTTTGGGCAGCTCAGCTGTCCTAAGTAACAAGCAGTCTTTACCTCCTTCCCCCTCCCTCTCCCCCCTCCCTCCAGCTGACCAATTTCACTTCTTCATCCTCAAATAACCCAGCTCCTGTGGAGAGGAAGCTGGGGTTGCAGCAGGAGTTCTCCTGGGGCTACAGTGGAGAGAGTTGTAGCTTCTACCCAAGGAACAATAATTAACCCTTGAAGTGACTTCAAGTTTAAAGTGAAGTACACACCTGGAATCCCAACACTGGGGAGGGGGAAGTAGGAGGGTCAGAAGTTCAAGGTTATCTTCAGTCACTTAGTGAGCTTGAGACCAGACTGAGCTTCACAAGACCTCCTCAAAAGCAAAACACTCACATATGCACGCACGCAGATGCGTGCACGCGCACGCGTGCACACACACACACACACACACACACACAGAGAGAGAGAGAGAGAGAGAGAGAGAGAGAGATTCTGCTTTATCTGGGCAGCATGATTCCACTCCACACACTAATACCTGACAAACAGAAGCAGGAAGATTGTGAGTTCGAATCCAGCCTTGGCTATGCAGACCTCCTGACTTAAGACCTCTCCCTGCCCCCGACACACACACCAAATAAATGGAATAAACTTTTTTTTTAAAAAAAAAAATCAGTATTCTGAGCAGAGCAGAGACCTGTCACAAAGCCTCCATGCCTTGAAACCCACCAGACCTTGAGCAGAAGGCTGGGAGCTAATTTTAATCAATCTGTTTGTTAGTGAGAATGTCATCTGTTTCTCTCTATATGAGAAATCCTTTCAGAAAATGACAAAAGGTGCTGCTGATGAGATGACTTCGTAAGTAAGTGCCTGATGCCCGGAATTTGATCCCTGGAACCGTGGTGTAAGGAGAAAACTAACTGCTACGGGCTGTCCTCTGACCCCAACACATCATGACTGTGGATGCTCACACCCACATACGTGGACACAAACATAAAGATATGCAGTGTCCCAAGGTTGCACACTTCTCTCTCCGATTTCAAGTCTCAGTGGTGGTGCACTCACCTTGCACACTCAAGGTCCTGAGTTGTGCCCTTCCCTTCCTTTCCCTGCCCTTATATACACACACATGTACAACCTAGATCAAGTCTCCTCAAGACCATAGAGATGGCCTTCATGTGGTAAAAATAGGAAGAAAGCATGTCAAGGATCAACTCTGAAGAGGGTTTGGATAGCCAAAGAGTGTTTTAATAATGTTGATCAGCAGAGTAGCAAGGGCGGGAGTCAGCCTCCTCCCATTACTACGGTAGATGTCAAGTATGCTGTAAACCACTCTGGAGGTCTAAGCAAAGGTGTCTGGACCCCTCCTTGGCAGATGAGCCCAGACCCTGCCACCCAGTACACCCAACCTGGGCTCAGTCGTTCTGTTGTGAGAATAGCATTGCTACACGATCTCGGCCCCCGCCTCTCTCACGCAAACTGGTTTAGGGCCAGCCAACATCCTGCGGATGCTTTACCAGATGGGCTGTGTGGGGAGGACCAGGATTTCTCCACCTCACACCTTTGCCTAAGGAAGCTGGGGAGCGGGAGTGAAAACGATCACCAAGGAAAATATCGATTAATTGGCTGTAGGGCGCTGGGGTGTCCTCATGGAGCAAGTGATGGCCACTTGAGTCCTCAGAGGTGGGCTGGTGGCATCCTAGACAACTTCTTTTCTTCTAGAATTTTTCCGAAGAGGTTGGCTGCCTCCATTGCACAACCCCAGTGAACTGTGATCCCGTAGCCTCCATGACCATAGTTATGGATGACCTGGGAGAAGAAAGAGGTGGTGGCCAGATGCAGAAGAGACATCAAGGAGGACAGCTTGGCTGCAGTGGAGGACCAGGAGCTTTCTGAAGAGCCTTGGTTAAACCAGATGCCACGACCTCTGTCAGTGTGTGAGCCAGAGGGCGGGCAAGGCCTGGGACTAGCTTGGGGGAAGCTATTTGAGGAGGGATAGGGTGCTACCCTATCTAGACTCTTGCTTCATCCCCTAGCACAGAAAATGCAGAACCGTGCAACCTTGAAGTCAGAGACATCTGCTGTAGTATTCCCTTACCGGTGACTCTCCACACACGCACCCAGCTCTGCAGAGGCATGCATGGCTCCTCCATACATACACAGTCATCTGTACACACTCACCTACATACCCCATTTCGACAGAGGCACATATGACTCCTCCATACATACACACAGTCATCTGTACACACTCACCTACATACCCAGCTCTGTAGAGGCACTCATGGCTCCTCCACACATACACAATCATCTGTACACATTCACCTACATACCCCAGTTCTGCAGAGGCACATCCAACTCCTCCATACATATACACAGTCATCCGTACACACTCACCTACATACCTAGCTCTGCAGAGGCACACACAGCTCCTCCATACATACACAATCATCTGTACACACTCATCTACATACCCAGCTCTACAGAGGCCCATATAGTTCCTCCATACATACACAATCATCTGCACACACCCACCTATACGTGTGCCCCTCTGTCTACATGTGCACAATGTTCAAATACATATCCTCCACACACCCCTATCTGTTTAAAAGGAGAAACTTAACCTCGGTACAGGGGTTGCTTCCAGTGTGTGCTTGCTCAGCTCATTCCTTTGTCTCAGATTGACCAAGGGATTTGATGCTCTCAGCTCCCACCCACAGTGAGGGGACCCAAGAGGAGCCCCTCCAGAGAGATAAAAGTACTATCACAAAGTGACCATCCTAGAAATATCTCCAGTCAAATACACACATCCTTGCCTGTCACCAGTGGTCTGCCTTAAGCGGGTGACATCACCAACGGCAGTCCTGTTTTCTCTCAGGAGGACAGAGAAAGCTGTTCCCGTTCGAAGAGCTTCAGGGGAGACCGGGAAGGTCCTGAATCCGTCCTGCCACCGGGCATAAAGTGCCATTTCTCTTTACTCGGTCCTTTCCCATCTCAAGTCTCGGTGTCCCCACTTACGGGTGGGGTGGCCACCACCTGATCTCAGTCAATGACGCTTTCCAGGAAATGGCAGGGTTGTTGTTGGCAAGCGTCCCTTCCCTTGACCCAACACACCTCTGCACTTGAAGATCCAAAATGAAGCTTTTCTCTTTCTAGCCGAACCTGAGGCCGGGCTGGCCGGAAACCAGTGAGTTCACCAACAATTCTTGCATTCTGGGGAAGAGAAAAGCTGGTAACTTACCTAGCTGGTTTCCTCTGCTGACATTCTAGGTAGCTGTGATTTAGCTTTTAGAATCTCATCATTAGTCCCTACACTGTTTGATCACAGGTTGTCAGTTACCGGCCCCCTCTTGCTCCGTGAGTGACTGTGTGTGTGTGTGTGTGTGTGTGTGTGTGTGTGTGTGTGTGTATGATGTGCAGGTACATACAGTGCCACAGTGGAAGTCAGAGGACAACCTTAGGTGTCAGCCCTCACCTTCCACCTTGTTTGAAACAAGGTCTGTTCACGGCTACATGTGCTAGGCTAGCTGGCTCACAAGCCCAAGGAGTCCTGGTCTCCACCTTCCACGTTGTCACAGGAGCGTCGGACTATCCTCTCTACGTGAGTTCTGGGGATCAGGTCCTCACGGCTGTGCTGCAAGCCCTTTATCCCTGAGCCATCTCCTTTCCCATCTGCCCCCTCACATTTGTTGATCTATGGTATTAGCCACAATCGCCAGCAGCCATTGTCCTGGTGTTACCAATGATTCTCATCACATCACTGTCCCCACCACTACAGTTGTCACCACCAACCCAGCACTGCCTCCCACTGATCTTGTCAGCCTCGCCATGATCAGGCAAACGTGAAAATGGAGGCATATCGGCGTCAAGTACACCCGCTCTCTGTGAAAACACTGAGATGCCTCCCTATGAAGTGCCTTCTCAGGAGGGCCACTTAGGTGTCATTAGCCCCCAGTGAGGACTTCTCTGAACACTGTCAAATGCTGCTGTGTACTCCAGTCTTTCTGGGGTAAACTTGCCCACTTATCCCATTAGCGACATCCTCCCATCAGGACCCAGATGCCCTGGTCTAGGGCACTGACCTTCAGGGTAGGCTCCAGTTTACAGCATCTTTTCCAAATGCTGTTGTGGTCATGGACACTGTTTAATTCATTCCAGTTCCCCAGCTGGAAGACACCTCCGAGAGTAACTGTCTTGGACCTAGATCAAAATACAGAGGGCTAAGGAACATGAAGCCTGGCAGATGGAGACACGTCTCCCCACTCCTCCTTTCTCCACTGAGTCACCCAACCCTGTCAGCCTTGCCATCCCTGCTAAACACACCCCACTGCCATTGTGATCGCCACCAACCCACTGTGCCATCCATCCCCAGCATTGCAATTGCCAACAGTACCGTCATCTCTATCAACAAAGGAGGCAACTCAGGGGATAAAGGGCTTGTGGCTCAGCAGTGAGGACCTGAGTTCAGGTGCCCGGAAGTCAGGTGAAGACAGACACAGTGGCACACGAACAGCAATGTCATCAACACCAACCCTGTCACCACTCATACCACCAAAGCAACACCATCATGATATTGCCACCTCCACCATGCCAATAAAGTCACCCCCAAGACATCTAACACTGACACACCGCTCATGACACACCCGGCCAGCCAGCACCACCATGCCATCCCTGCCATGCCACCACCACCGTGCCATTGCTGCCTTGGAATCAGCATCCCTGCCCTGCCAACACCACCATGCCATCACTGCCTGGAATCAGCATCTCTACCATGCCAGCACCACTGCGGCATCTCTGCCTGGAATCAGTATCTCTGCCATGCCAACACCACCATGCCATCACTGCCTAGAATCAGCATCTCTGCCACGCTAGAAACATGCTTCATCTTCATCAACACCAAATGTCTTTCCCACTCCACCACCATCAATGACGGTGATCTCCTTAACTATGTTACGATGACTGCCAACATCCCCATCAGCACCATCTTTCCCCAGCAATGACCACGCTACCGTCATTCTTCACCAATAGTCCTGCCATCCCCTCAACACCGCCACACAGGCGCCATCACCTCCACGGTCAACATTATCAACACCGTCAGCACAATTGCTCTCCCGGCTCTACCTGCTGCCTTTCTGACCACCTTTGGTGTCACTGCCTGTGTATCCAGGGTCTTTGTCCTGGCTTTACACCACTGCCACCAAAAGAAATGCTCAGGATAAGGTTCAATCAGGGTCGAATCCCACCATCCCAGGGATTTCATTGCCTACGCCCATTTGTAAGACAGGTGGATGGAGTGTTAAGAGGCCATGAAAGTGACCCCTCTGCAGCCTTAGATGAGCCAGAGATTTACCCTGGGATGATGTATGGGGAGTTGTAGATGCCAAGGCTTGAGTCGTGGGTGAGGATGAAGTGCTTCATCCACGGGGCCTCCACCTGTTGACTCAAGGCAGACACATCTTGTCAGAGAACAAGGTCAGTGGTTTTCCCTTTAGTTTGGTCCCCTCAGTGTTCAGTCTTCTCATGATCCTCTGACCCAAAACAGCAGGAGGGTCACCTGACAGACAGCTCTCCTTGCTCCCCGGAGTATCCTCACCACATGTCTGTGGAAAAACCTTAACCCACAGGAGCAAGCACACACACTTATCAACCCACACAAGGAGCATACACACACTCCGCACACATGTCAATGCACATGTGCACGTTCACATCCGTGTGCCCACAAACAGGCAAGCATGCACACACATGCCCCCACACATCGTGACAGGCATGGGACAGTGGTGACAGTGACAGACCAGTGCTCCAGAACGACTGGGTTTGATCCACTCAGCACAGCGCTTAGGCGCGAATCGGGCACTTGAGAAGCACTTTATAAAGGCTTCCCATTTTCTTTACAACCCAGGCCTGTGCTATGGCTCCCACATGATGGAGACATTTCCACGCACACTTTGCTATGGGGAAGAAATTCCAAGACAGAACTTTTGGGGTGCAAGGAGTAGGCTGGTCCTTGTTTCTTCATTAAGTCATCTCCTCAAAGGTTGGAGTCACTCAACACGACCGCCCACTAGCTTTGGAGTGGTGGGAGCCTCTCACCTGAATGATCTGGCCCCGGCCTGGCTGCAGCAAGGCGTCTGTTTGCAGCGCCCCGGCCCACACCCCGGTACAGTTGATGATCACGTCTGCACCTCCTCTTGCCACCTGGCAGCAGGAACAGTCGAGGGACAGGAAGGAGTGAGGACCATTCTGGGCCCTTCCCCCTCCAGCCTCTTTTTATTGTTTGCTGTTTTGTTCTTGGAGACAGGGTTTCTCTGTGCAGCCTCACCTCAGGCCAGCGAGGCTGCTGTTAGACCCTGAGGAGAGACTGCTGGGCAGAGAGGACTGTGGAGGGGGAACTTTCCTAAAGCCTTAAAGAAAAGTTCACATGGCTGGGCAGGCGGTGGTGGCGCACGTCTCTAATCCCAGCACTTGAGAGGAAGAGGCAGGTGGATCTCTGTGAGTCTGAGGCCAGCCTGGTCTACAGAGTGAGTCTCAGGACGGGCTCCAAAGCGACAGAGAGAAACCCTGTCCTGAAAAACCAAATGAATGAATGAATGAATGGATGTTCACATTAAGCCAAGATGACTCCAAACTCCATCAGACCCCTTTGGAGACCATCCTCTTGCCTTCTCTCTGCCAGGATACTGGCTTCGGCTCTGCCTATACCCAGAACGCTTGTCAGCTCAGACACAGTAAGCACCCTGTGCTCCCAGTCCATCTCTGGTGACTCCCTCGCAAAGCTATCATGGACACATAAACTGTTAAGTGTGTTCTGTCTTAGAGCCATGGGGAAGGGGGGCTGTGATAGAGTCAACCACAGAGCCCACGTGTCGACCAGGGCCAGACCTGACCCCAGTGAGCTCAGCACCAGCAGTTGGATATGCTGACCTTTTGCCTGTGCCAAGCATTATTTTGCATTCTGGGACTAAATGAAGGCACACAGCTGGGCTGATAAGATGTGGTGGCCTTGATCTCATCACTGTCAATGCTAACGGTGTACCCGTGGCCATAGTAGAGTGCCTGGGCATTGCAGAAGCGACAACCCAGGTGTCGGTGGGAAGCATGGGAGAGTCTGAACTGCACTGTGGACTAGAGCTGACTCTAAAACACGGCTGGGTCGGACAGACCCAGTCCATCTCGTCTCTGGGATTCCATTGTTTCCTTCTTACCACCAACATTGAGAATGCCCAAGGCCTTCTGGGGTTGAGACCAGGCTTAGAGCCTGGTCTCAGGCCTGCAGAAGTCCAGAGAGTCTAAGAAGCGGTCTCCCACATAGCAGCAGGAAACAGCCTACCTTCCTCCCTCACACCCCTGCCTCTCACCTCTTCAAAAGACTCCACCTTCCGATGGAAGAGCTTCACGCCCCTCTCCATCAACCTGGAATGAAGACACATATCAAACCAGCCCCAAATTCTCTTCTCTGCCACATCCCTCCGAGAGGGCAGCACAGGGAACATTCTAGTGGACAGAGCCCCAAATGCCCCAATGTAGCCATTTAGTTCATGGGCACCCAACTGGACCAGTGGACTGAAAAGCATCCTTTTGAAAACAAGGTCCTCTTGGAGGCCCTGCTCCTCACTGACAGATAGAGAAGGGTCTTCCTAAAAGTCACAGAGCAAGCTGTGCACTGAGATTGGGACACAGACCCAGCCTCTCTCTTTCATTATATTCTGCTGCCATCAGATTGCTTTATATCAAAAGGGACAGACTTTAGGGGTGTGGGGAGAAGAGGCAGAGTTGGACCAGTGTCAAATGCACCTTTTTTTAGCATAAAACACCAGAGACAGTGGGCCTGGGGACACCCTTCTCTCTCTTTGAATGTTCCAGAGAAGCACTCAGTGGTGGCATGTCTGCACAGACTATGCGAGGCCTTGGGTTTGAACTCAGCACTGAAAACTCATCAAAAGAGTTAGAAACCATAACTATCCAAAGGGTTTCCCCAGAAGGAATTCTAATTGCCTAATTTCTTCATGATGGACACCTGGGAAGAGTCTGGTCAGGGGTCACAATGTCCCAAGGACAAGAGTAGTGCTGTCAGCCCAATGATCTGTTGTGGCGCAATTCCCTCAGATCTGTAACACCCATCCTGGAAGGAGGGAGGCTCCTGAGACACATGAAGTTAATGAACTCCCCGTCACTGGGAAGATGAAACACAAGATTCATGAGGCCCCTCCCAAAGGTCACAGCAGCAATGACTGGCTAAGGGAGGAGACTCAGGTCAGCTGAGCAGCCCAGGGGAGATTCTCCCAGACATGCAGCTGCCTCCGAGATGAGCAGAGATCACCAGGGTCACAGTTTTCACCTGTGTTAGGCTGTGCTTTCTGATGACACAGTGTCTTTGAGTCATTCTACTCCTGTAAGTGACCCCTCACCCATATTCCTGTTACTAACTCAACACACTCATTGGTTTCACCAAGTTGGACTTTGATGTAATAATTACTTTACTCTGTTCTGGGTTCCCTATCTGGGGTGAGTAATCACTTGTGTGTGTTGTGACTTCTTAGGAAAACGTTCACATGACATGGTTCCCAAGTTTGGCTGAGAGCTACACTCACCCAGGGAACCTATTGACATACAAAAATTCTGGACTACTAGACATGAGACTCTCCATTAATCCCAGCACTTGGGAACTAGGGACAGGCAGATCTCCATAACTTCTGGGTCAACCCGGTCTACATAAAGAATTCCACGCCAGCCAGGGCTATAGTGAGACCCTGTCTCAAAAGACAAAGATGAAAACCAAAATTCCAGACCGTTTCTCCAGGGCCTCTGACTTAGTGGGCGTGGAGTAGGTTCCTGAAAGCTGTATTTTAAAAGGTCTTCCCAGATCACAAAGGTCATTCATCTCAGAGTTTTTCAAAATCTTAATAAATTATAGGATATATATCAAGTCTCCTTTAATATGAATGCATGTGATCCTCCAAGCTAATGTTTGCTAACGTAGAATACTACATGATTCACGTTAAAACATCAGTAGCAAGATGGGGCATTTGCCCTTGACTGTATCACTTAACATTGTCCTAGGGATACTTGCAAGAGCAGTTAGAGAAGAAAAAATGAAAGGGAGAGAAATGTTTTAAAAGTTAATTTATGCAAGCTATGTAACTATATCTAGAAAAACATTTCAATCCATTTTAAACTACTATATGTGATCACGAGAGTTTGAGAGACGTCGCTAAGAAATACAGCCAATGACAGTCTGGGTGCGGGACCATCGCCTCTGCACACAGCGAATGGAGGTCAGGACCAGGGACAGCTCCCACGCGGCACCCTGGGATTCACCTCAGCCTTGGAGTTTGGCAACACGACTACTCTTCTACAGTTTGGCCCCTGTCTCCTGTCCTTCTCAGAGGAAGCTTCCACTCTTACCTCTCAGTCAGCCACGGCAGGTACCTCTTCCCCTCTAAAGACAGGCTTGTGTTGAACCAGCCATAGCTAGAGTCAGAGGGGGCAAAGAGGTCAGAATCCGAGGTTTGAGAGTTGCTTTGGTATTATTCTATGAGTCCACAGTGGCTAGAGCTGAGCCACCAGGTGTCATTTGTGGGGTGATGGTAGGGGTTCAGCTTAATACATCAAACCATGGCATTCTGGGAAATTTAAATAGAGTCTGGATGTTTTGGGGGATGGGGTCAGGTGAGGAGAGGACCAGAGGCCAGGAGTGTGGAAGCACACAGGCTAGGCTGGATTCTGAGTGTGGTCACGTGGCTGTGTGGCCCTGGAAAGTCCTTTAGCCTCTCTGTTTCCTCATTTGAGAGAGTGGTTTGACAAAGTGGAATGCTAGGGTTTAAATGCTGAATGTCCTCAAAGGTTCTGTGCACAGGATTGGTCTCTGAGGTGGCAGCATTGAGAGGCAATGGGATTAGAAGGTTAGGGCTAGGGAAGGAGCTGCAGTCATCAGACGCTTCCTTCAAAGGTCACTGTGGGACTTTATCATCCATTCTCTTTGCTTTCTAGCTTGGGATACAAGCAGCTCTGACAAGCATCCTCATGAACTAAAACAAGCCTTTTTGCAAAGGTAAGTTGTGTCTAGTATTTCATCATATGGATATAAAGTTGATTGACATTTCAATCCAAAGCCAGGAAGAGGCTGGACTTCAGAAGTACAGGGTACCAGGAGTTCTAGGATTGAGTTTGGATGGCAAATTGGTGCTTCTGTTCTTGGCTGCTTTCTAGACAGTTCTGTCTGAATTGTCATGCCCAGTGTCTTTGCCCGTGATGGGATTTTACCTGTACTCAGGGAATATGTCCATCTCTCTGGGGGTCAGCCTCCGAAATCCCAGAACTGTGTTTCTCCAGGAAGGGTCCTGAGGAGAAAGTAGAGACAGGCTCACAGGGATAGGTGGACTTGATCGTCAGGATAACAGAAACTCGCAGAACGCTTGCTGGATGACAGACAGTTGGCAGTGTCCGGCTGGACCTCCAGCTCACTCCTGCTGCATCCAGAAAGCCCCATCCTTCTTTATCCAAACCACATCCTCTCAGAGAATCTCCAACAAAGAAAAGGTGCCAAAAAGCCTAGTTCTACATTCTTGGTGGCTGTAACAGTTCCTCCCTGAAACTGCCAATAACCCAAGACCCCACCTAAAGCAGTCATCTTTTACCATTCTTGGGCACAAACTCAGTTTGTGGAGGACACATCATCAACCCTCGTCTACAGAGTATATATGCTCCATGCTTTAGTTCAGCCATGTAGCTTCTCTGGCCCAATCTCTGGGGCTAGAGGGCTCACTGGGAGTTGCTTTGCTCAAATATACCTGTTTCTTTTTCAATTCGACTTAATCTAGCTTACTGTGTCAGTCAATAAACCTATTATCTGGTTACAGAAAACCTGTTAGGCAGCATTTACTTATATGGCTCTGTTGTTGGGTCTCCACAACCAGCCACTGAGGTCGATGCAGTGAGCATCCTTACAGACAGACCAAATGACCTTAGAGAGGTCAAGTCTTGTCTGAAGTCACATAGCAAAGAGGCAGAGCTGAGATGTGAAGTCACAATTAGGTTCAAGTCTACGCTCGCTCTGCTTAGCATCAAGTAAGTGATGGGGAGAGACAGAGAATCTCAATGGACCTGAGGCTGGGGGTGTAGCTCAGTGACAAGACACTTGATCTTCACCTCCACCAAAATAAAAATAAATAAATCTAATTTGAATGCAAGTCTATGACCTCTGAGTACTCCCCCAGCTCAGAACCCCAGCCCCATCTGTGCCCTGTTAGGTCCAAATCCCCCACCCACCCACCCAAATGGCAGTGCTGGTGACGTTGTCCTAAACAGGATTTTGGTGGGTAGGCAGATGAATTGTGAAAAGTTTCTGTACCCTGATAAGCCTCTCTGCCGACACAGCAATCCACATCAGACCAAATCAAACTGAATTAGAAAAAGCCCAGGTTTAATGAACAAAATGCTCCCGAATGATTTTCCAGTTCCTCAGAGAAGAGACAGGAAAACATGTCTGCTTTCTGAGGAACAATTTAAATGCCCTGTGGGAGCATCTCTGTGGGAGGAGTTGTCATTTGGTGGGCTTTCTGAGATGTGGCAGGGTTTGGAGAGAGATGGGGGAGGGGACTTTGGTGCGGGAGAATTGTCTGTATTCTGTTAATCATGTTTTAAATAAACGCTGATTGGCCAGGCAGGAGTTGTAGGCGAGAAAACCAGACAGGAAGAGGAAATGATGCAAGGAGAGCAGAAGAATTCTGGGGAGGAGGAAATTGATTTGTCCCACTCCTACCTAGATCACCGAAGCAGCAGTATGTGAGCTGCCCCACTGAAAAAGGTACTGAGCCACATGGCTAACATAGATCAGAAAAATGGGTAATCAAGATGTGAGAGTTAACTAATAAGTAGCCAGACCTAATGGGCCAATCAGCTTTATAACTTATAGAGATCTCTTGTGTGATTTTTCTCTGGGACTAAATAGCTGGGGAGCTGGGCGGGACAGAAACTCCCAACAAACAAACAGGCCCCCTCATGTTACAGAATGGCGCCCACATGGATAACTGAATCCACAGAAAGCCTGGGAATGCTTGGGAGAGATTAGAGTAAAGCATTTCAGTTTTCAGCCATAGCAGGAAAAAAGCTGCGCTGTTTTAAAATGCCGGCTGGGCCAGGGAAAACTCTGACTCTTTCAAGCAGGCAGTTCTGACTATGGAAACAATGTTGCAGTTTGCTTCCTGGCAAGGACCTTGAAACGCCATAGGAGCTTTTGAGTGTTGTCTTCTCCATATTCCTTAGCAAATTAAAGACCCACATGATCAGAAAAAGAGAGATATACAGTAAAAAGAGATTCAAAGAGGAAGAAAACCTCTAAATAGTTTACAGTGTGTTAAAAATATATGCAGGCTTAAAAAAGAAGGTTTAAAGCCTTAAAATAAAAAAGAAAGAAAGAGAGTAGTTGAGTGTGCTGATACACACCTTTAATCCCAGCACTGGGGAGGCAGAGACAGACGGATCTCTGGGAGTTCAAGGATAGCCTGGTTTACAGAGGGAATTCCAGGACAAAGATATGCAGGGAACCTGTCTCAAAAAGCCAAAAGTTAAAAGTAAAAATAAAAGAAATAGAGGTTAAAATAAAGCTGCATAAAGATGAAAAATACACAGAGAATCTTGATACTGTATGCTATTATGCTCTCTTTGAATTGTTTAAATGCTGAGGAAGGAGCAACAGCTGCTAAAAGATATTTGCTTATAAATGCTGCAGAATTAATCCAAGATAGGTATTTTGAAAATACCTTGACTTCAAAATTGAAGTCAAAAGGTATGTTACTTTGGAGAAGAGATTTTGCTTTTGTTTCCACAGAAAATGAGAGGCTCTGGATCTATTTAGAGTTAAGAAAAATCATCTTTGACCAAGGGAGGCCACCTGAAAAATCTCTGACAGGAATAGATGGCCCAGATGTTTGAGTTCTTCATCCAGAACAGATTCAAGACTGCTGCCTGAGATGATCAAGACTCACAGGATACTTCCTTCAGTCAGGACTTGATCATAACTCTAAACTTCCTTTAGGTCCCCTTAAGATTATCAGCTCCCCCAACCAGCAGGAAGTAGCCTGGAATACATACTACGCCCACATTCCCAAAAAATGGACTATGGATATTTTCCTTTGTTTTTTTAAAAAAGAGGGGGAAGTGGTGGGGGAGAATTGTCTGTATTCTGTTAATCATGTTTTAAATAAATGCTGATTGGCCAGGCAGGAGGTGTAGGTGGGAAAACCAGACAGGAAGTGGAAATGATGCAAGGAGAGCAGGAGAATTCTGGGGAGGAGGAAGTTGATTCCTCCCATTCCTGCCCAGATCACCAAAGCAGCAGGATGTGAGCTGCCCCACTGAAAAAGGTACTGAGCCACATGGCTAAAATAGAACAGAAAAATGAGTTAATCAGGATGTAAGAGTTAGCTAATAAGTAGCTTGACCTAATGGGCCAACCAGATTTATAACTTATAGAGATCTCTTGTGTGATTTTTCTCTGAGACTAAACAGCTGGGGGGCCGGGCAGGACAGAAACACAAATAAGCCGGCCCCCCTCATGTTACAAGACTTGGGTTGGAGCTTCCACCCAAACATTCCAGATTCTTTGGGTATATGGATGCCAGGAGCTGGGGTGAAGCTTATACCACAACAGATTGCTATTGAGTAGACAAACCTAAAGGTGGGTTTCTGGGTTTCTGTTCACCAGAAAAGCAGATCAGGGAACACCCCCAATCCTCCAGGAACCCCCTTTAACCTTCCCTCAAAGGCCAGCTACCTTGGGTAAGGACACCTATTTCCCACTCTACTCTATAGCCTGTATCAGTCAGATCCACACCCCGTGTACATCAAATCTGCTGGCCTTTCTCTCGTTTTGCTCTTCTCTCTGCCTCTCTGATACACCCCAAGAGAAGGCCCTGCCAATTTGATTCCCAATCCTTTCGTTCTACCCACAGAATGGCCTAGCTCTGTAGTTTCTCTGTACCCTTGCGTGTTGCCTTCATGGTCAAGGACTCTTGGCTCACCGGAACTTCATGTTGGAAGAGATTGTAGCCTGAGATTAGGGACAAGCCCACTTTTTCAGCATCTTGAGAATGGATGTGGCTCAGCAGGTAGTCGAAGGTTTGCTGACCCCACTCCCTGGAAATGTAAGAAATATCACATGTGAGTCTCTTCTGCCAGTTACTGAAAACCTGATTTTAGGTCAAGAAATGAAAATCTTCTTAGCCCCTACCTTGTGAAACCTTAGGAATTTGACAACCTGGAGCTGAGGCCCCTCTCCCCTTCCCCCTTTTTTCCCTGTGCACAATTTTTTTTAGACTACCCAACAATCATTCCAGCAATCAGAAGGTGGATCTCTGTGAGTTTGAGGCCAGTCTACTCTACAGAGCAAGTTCCATGACAGTCAGAGCTACTCAGAGAAGCCCTGTTGCAGGGGGGAAACACACACACACAGGAGAGAGAGAGAGAGAGAGAGAGAGACAGAGAGAGAGAGAGAGAGAGAGAGAGAGAGAGAGAGAGAGAGAGAGAAAATGAGAGGTTGAACCCCAGTCAATGGGGAAAGGACACAGCCACCATTGGGTTGGAATAAAGCTTGCATGTACTTTCTGTCTTCGCGTGTTTGGTCTTCTGGTCTCACCCTCTTGATCAATATAAGGGTTGCCTTGTCCAGATACTTCACTTGGAATATTGTTTTCTTTCTTTGTGACCCCAAACTTATTCCTAATCAAAGTGGCATCAGGGTCTTGGTCACTCAGCACTCTGGACAGAACTGTTCAGGTCAGCCTGTGTAGTGCAAAACCCAAACATTCACAGGGCTCACTCCTTCAGTGCTGCAAACAGCTCTCCCACACCTGGCTTCCCAGGTGGAAACCAGGAAGAAAAGCATTCCATAGTACACCCCAGGAACATGCCTGGAGTCTGGGCTCACACTGCGAAGGCTTTGAGAACTGGAAACCACACAGTGCAACCTGGAACTGAGCACCCCCACTGTGAGCACAGGGGACAGGACACAGACACTGGCTTGTCCCTCTTCTCAGTCACACACCTGGCTCCATTCTAGCCACGCTGAGCCAGTGCTTGCTGGCTGAAGACTCTGTGCCTGGTACCTAGTTCTCTCTGGTCTTCAAGAAGCTAAGATCATGTGTAGGAGCATACACCTTTAAAATCCTAGAAGGAGGCAGAGACCGGCAGATCTCTATGAGTTCGAGGCCAGCCTGATCTACGTAGTTGGTTTTCCAGAGCTACATGGTAAGACTTTGTCTCAAAGGAAGAAGAAGAAGAAGAAGAAGAAGAGGAGGAGGAGGAGGAGGAGGAGGAGGAGGAGGAGGAGGAGGAGGAGGAAGGAAGGAAAGAAAGATTGGAAGCAACCTTCAACCTTGTAAGTGACCTTGGGAACTGTGTTTGAGGATGAAGACACAACGCAGACAGAAACACGGTTTCCGAGATTCTTGCCAGGAGTGAGGGTTAGGGTCTGTGTGATGTCATCCACCGAGGGTTCGTGTTGACACCTGTCAGCTACTAAACATACATCATGGCCTTCTGTGCCTTCTTCAGCCAACTACCTTAGCTTTGGCAATCTCTGCATGCACCAGTGCTGTGGCGTTGTGAGCCACCCAGTGCTACAAAGGTCCCAGCGCTTGGAATTCCTCACAGGATGGGCTTCCACGTTTACTTATTTCCCGTGTGTGTGGTCCTCATGGGAAGGTCAGAGAACAGCTTTGGGTGCTGTCCTCATCTCCCACCTTGTTTGTCTGCTGTTTGCTGCTGTGTGCTCTGGACTAGCTGGGCTGTGAGTTTTGGGCGATTCTCTGATGTCCTCCTGAAGTTGCCCTCACAAGGATAGCCTGGGGTTACTGATGCGAGTGACTACATCCAGCTTTGAAGTGGATTCTGGGAATCTTGACCCATGTGGTCAGACTTGAGTGGTTACATTCTGTTCCAGTTTCAGAGACAAGCCTGTGGTGATGGCTTTGAGAGCTGAAGTTATACTTTAAGTTTGAATTATTGTGCTTAAGATATCTAGCCTGCAGAAATACCTCTAACCTGTAAGCCCCAAGGATACTTGCCTAAGGACAGACAACATGTTTTCACTTCTGTAAACAAGGTTGGTTGTCCCAACTGCGCAGGATGTGCTGGATCATACATGGGCAGGAAATACATCAGGTATCTGAGGTCATTCCCTAGCAATCCCAGGCATGGACCTGGCCAGTGTCCATCATCCTGGCCAGTATTTAAAAATGCTTGCTTCAGGTGGGGGGTGGTGGCACACATCTTTGATCCCAAACTTGGGAGGCAAAGGCTGGCAGATCTCTGTGAGTTCAAGGCCAGCCTGGTCTACAGAGTGAGTTCCAAGACAGGTAGGGCTGTTAAACAGAGAAACTCTGTCTCAGAGGGAAAAAAAAGTGTTTGTTTTAGATTTGGCTCAAAAACTGTTGTAGTGGTCTTATTCTTGGCTAGATGGGATCAACAATGCCCAGGGTGACTTTCATAGGATCGGGGACCACAGGGGTGTCTGCTATCCAGATCATCCATTTCTTTTGTTTTATTTTGTTTTGTTTTTTGTTTGTTTGGTTTGGTTTTTTGAGACAGGGTTTCTCTGTAGCTTTGTAGCAGATCATTATTTCTTACTGCTTTATTCTTCTTTCCTTATTTATTTACTCTTTCAAAAACAGAGACTCCCTGTGTACTCTTGACTAGCCCAGGACTTGAGATCAGGCTGGTCTCCAGCTTGCAGGGACTCTACGTTTGTTCCTCTGCTTCCTGAGTTACAGGATGATGGGTAGGTGCAGTCACCTGGCTGTTTACGTTTTAATCTAAGTCTGTTGTGTCACCCCTGATGACCTCAAGCTTATAGGCCACTCCCCTCTACCCTCAAGCGCTGGGGCACAGGTCGGAGCTTCCACAAGGGTCTTGTCCTTGGAGATAAGAATTGTGATGAAAGGCTTCCACTGTGGACTCAGCTTTCTGAGCCCCAAGACTGCCACGTCGGACCTCTACTCACGCTTCCTGTGGGTTGCTGGAGTCCGAGAGATAGGGCTGCCATAAGCCCGCAGCCACGTCGCTGGTGGTGAATGGGGTGAAGCGGTCTGCATAGATCGTCATGTGCAGTGGCTGCGCTGGGTGGAAACGCTCGTGAATGCAGAGGGCCGTGGACAGTCCAATGACTCCCGCTCCGATCACGACCACACGCATCACACCAGCCTGTGAGAGGAGAGAGGGGATTGAGGGTCACTGTCACCACCATCAGGGTGGGCTCCTAATGGCTTGGAAAGCCCCAAGCACATTGCCCAGTCCCTACCATTGGTGATGACCACTAGTCCACGATTCTAGAATGTAAGGCATAGTCTCCCAATTTTTAAAAAAGGTTTGTTTTGTTTTTTATGTGTCTATATGTGCATGTGTGTGCACATGTATGCATGTGTAACCTGAGTGCAAGGCACCAAGAGGAGGCAAGAAGAGGGTGTCAGATCTCCTGGAGCTGGGCTTACAGGGGCTGTGAGACCTCTGACCTGGACTTGAGGCCTCTGGAAGAGCAAAGCACGCTCTTGACTCTAGGCCATCTTTCCATCCTCAAGGTTCCGTTTTCAAGTAGAAACCCCGAGCTGTGCAGAGGCAAACCGCTCGCCTAAAGTCGCTCGACTGATAATTGCAGAGGTCCCCTGGGCGCCACACTGAGGTTGGTCCCAGCCCCCGGTATTACAGGCTAGTCCTGCGGTCAGGAGTACCAGCTTCAAATGGAAGCGCTCAGCCCTGCTAGCTGTCAACCCTTGGTAAGCTACTAACTAAGTTGCAACTTAGTTAGACAAACCTCCAGGGTGGACGGGGTGACAATAAAGGCAAAGCAGCTCCAGAGTGGAGGGAGGGCTCCCACCTTCAGGGAGGACCTACCCTGTGCCCTGAACTACAGCTTCACTCATTCTCATACCTAAGCCTGCTGTGTCCTGAGGTCAGGGCTGCTGCTTTTAGTCCCACTCTACAGATAAGGAAACTGAGGCTCAGAGGGTGGAGTGGCTCACACACACCGTCACCAAGTGGTGGTGTTGAAATTTAACTGGAATTCAAGTAAATGCAGCACAATTTACTGCACCCCTACTGCGTGTCAGGCTGCCGGTAGCCGACGCGGCTTTGAGCATCCCCATGCAGGCTTTGCCCTCAGGACCGCCTCCTCTGGCAGAGGACTAGGCCTGCCTTGGGGTGCTGAGCTGGCTGCACCTTCGGATGTTCAGGCCTAGTAGCTTTTGACCTTGTGCCTCTCAGCCAACTCCTGTGAGGCGGAACAAAGGGATTGTGTGTGTCCGGAAGAGCCAAGCGCAACTTCTCCTCCTCTGCACTCAGCTGGCCTCCCACAGACCCCGGCTCTTGGCAACGCCAGCCTGGGGCCCTGAACAGCGGAACATTCTCAATATGGCCTAGTTTTGCAAAGGGGGATGGCTGCAGGCCACAAAGGCTGGACTCTGCTGGGGTTTCCGACGCCAAATTGGGGACTGAGCCCACAAACAGAGGGTGGAAGCTTGAAGTCTGCGCTTGGGTGTTGGGGTTTAGGAAGCAGAACCCCCTATCCCCCCTCTGCACCCTTACCCCTGAGACAAGACTGCTTCATTAGTAAAACAGAGATAACTCCAATCTCATCAGCTGTCTTGAAGATTCAATGCCGGGCTCTGCAGAGGTTCCTGTTATGGTGCCTGGTTGGCCTTCAGTACATAGTACCCAGTACCTAGTACAAGTGCTCAGTACACAGCACACAGTACTCAGTACACAGCACACAGCATGCAGCACACAGTACACAGCTCACAGTACACAGTACACAGCACACAGTACACA